ATGCTCAATTCGCCCTCTACTGGGCGGAAGTCAGGCCTCAGTGAGGCACTCATTCCAATAGGTCAAGCTGTCAGAGCGCCACAGTTCACATCCTCTCATTAGACTGCAACACTTTCAACATCCCTTCACTGGAAAAAAGCAAGGTTTTGTGGTGACTGCGCAGGTGTGGTCAGGCAGAGTGAGTGTTGTCGTTCCCTTTCTCCACACACCCATGCAACATGGACATTGCCTGAGTAAACTATCAGATATAAATGTGTTGAAGACAAAGATTCACAGCTGTTGAATGGGGCTGTGATACAAGTTCAGGTTGTGTCAGCAGAATGACACTAGCTTAGCTGTGAAGCCTTCTGAAAACAAGCCCTATTCTTTAGTAATAGTAGTAAAATGATGTTTTATAGCTTTAATAACTTCTTTGAAATATGTTGCAAATGTTGATTTCATATTATGTATGGCTTAACAAAGCAAGAAAACTTTGTGGTGTTGTTGTTGTGTTTATGAAAAATGCTATATACCCTTAAGAACCAGATTTACTGAAAATGAGCATGTTCGTTTCTTGTCCAGTGTAATTGGCAGGACATTCTGTCTGAATGTGACACAGACACAAACTGCTCAAATAAGCAGAACTCAACAAACAAGCTAGAAACTTTATTTGTTAAAACAAGTACAGAGAGTTGCTGTATTACAACTTAAAAAAAAAATCTCGATAGATTGCGGTTTTATACATTTACCATCAGTGGTTTAGAAAGGCAACTCCTAATGGAAACAATGGCATACGTATACAATACAAATTAGCAAACATATCAAAATCAGTTTTTACAACTTTTGTAGCAACCAAGTCTTTCTGTTGGTGTGCCATAGTGCAAACTGTGTTGTTTGTAAGACAGAGATTTAAAGCGTGACCTCCACATTCATACATCTAAACAACCCATTCTCTCTGTCTTAAACACATTTTCATTTTGTAGGCTGCATTCATTGTGCCTTCAGTTCAAGTCCTTCTGTCCAGTAACATGAATTTACAATCATAAGAATTCAAGTGTATCCGGCAGGTCAGGCTGTTTTGTTGGAGACTGAGCCACAGTGCTCCTGGGTCATGTGTGCGTCATGTGGTATGTGAAGACCTGTCAAGCCCTGAAGTGGTACTTCACCCTGGTGGAACATTTTTGTGTCCATGGGATCTCAAGAGTGATCAAAATGGAATAGATACTGACCAGTGTCTAATTTTCCAAATGTTTTAATGTTGCCATTGTTGTTTGGGTTTTAGAAATGGGACTAAAAGCTGCTAGTTTTCATCTTTTCATTGACTCCTGTGAACCTATGTGTACTAAAAGATGCACCAGTGTGGCGTGTCACTCTAAAGAGTCTCCAACTGTGATTTGTCAAGCCCTTTCAAAAGGTCCTTGAGGCTTCCTGGTTTGACTCTGAAAACATTATTCCAAAGATGATAATCACAAACATACAGCTTAGCAAAAAGTGTAATAGCTTATATGTGGGCTATGATTGGAGTGGAGCTGCAGAGGGCATATAATCTGTCAGCGTGTTTGTATAAATGGACAGAGCACAGAACACTGAGACATAGGAAAAACACATTTTGTTTTTGTATAACTGTGATCATTTCAGTCTACATTCACATCAAGGTCCAGCATGTATATGTGTTCCTGTATTCATTAGATGACAAACCTCTGTGGTTAAGATTTGGATGGAAAGGAAGGAAAGAAAAGTACGAGCTATGCTGGGTGTGAAAGCACTGCCCTTTGGGAAGAATGGGCCTCTATATTCTGGTTGTATGCACCATGCTCTGCAGGAAAGCATTGGAACTGGTGGATTGGTTGTGTCAACAAGTCTGAACTTGAAGGCTGGGGTGAGCTACAGCCCCTCCATCTTCCCCTCCCTCTCGTCAGGGTCTCCGTACCAACTCAAGAGCATCCACAACGGTCCACCACCATGGCGGGGATCTTGCCATAGATGATCTGCTCTTCGTGGTTAAAGTAGAGCATGTTGATTGGTGACATCTTGGTGGGGGTACAGCAGGGGCCTGCAGTCCCTCTGGGGTTGGCTTGGTTCACCAGGTGGGTGTGTGGATACTTCTGCAAGTGCATATACTCACACTCCCCCAAGCAATAGTTGGCTTTGTAGCGCTTAGGGGCAATAATCCAGTCCCAGCCAAAGTCTTCAAAGTCCACAGTGAGTGGATAGCGGCAGCACCGTGACTCTGGAGAGTTCTCATCACAGTCCAGGCCCACGTCTCTCCTGGCTCGCTTGGGGTTCTCTGAGATCTTCACCTCCATGAATGGTTGCTGAAATGACAGCACCTGTGTTACTACTTTGGAAAAAGAGGTGGATGACGACATCTTTTAATCTGGTGCTCTCACCCGTTGATGCTGGTTTTCAAACAGCAGGATAATGTTATGAAACGTTGAGATTTAAAGAAATGAAATCATTTGACGGCTGGTTAACCACAGCCCTCTAGGTATTCTAACTGCCCCCAAGCCTAGTGCCAGTATTTGAGCCATGTGATATGTGTTTGTCATTGATACTGGCAATGTGTGTGCACAGACCGTTACTCTGATTTGCACAGTCACAGAGAACACCTAAAGGAATGTGAAGCGGGTGAACATTTATGTAATCAAGTAGTCAGATTTGAGGTTATTGTGGACTGGGCATTTGTCCAGATGCAGGTGTGCACCTACATGGAGCCTGTGTTGATTAACAGCTTTTAATTCCTTCTTCTAACAGTGAAATGCATGAATGTTTAACCACCTGCTGATTTTGCAAAGCCTCTCTGCACACTGAAACTTCTGGAATCCAAAAGTTAAAACCTCTGTAAAGTACAACAAGGAATCCAAATTGAGGACTCAGTTGGAATCGGAATTTTTAGAACCATTTTTATGAACTAATTCAGCTGCTTCGGGAGGAAGTAGCTCTGTACTTTGCACCCACACTATTCACTTCTGTATATTTACTGATGAAGCTTAAGTTATCACTGAGTGTTAACACCTGACAATAAGGCTCTGTTTACTGTAATATAAAGATTCATCTCACCAGTCCTTCCTCTCCGGGCTCTGCGGAGGTCACGGCCACATCGTTTCCCCTCGAATCGAAGGCGTTAATCTCGATCCCCAAGTTGGTCTCCGGTTGCCGCAGCCACACAGTCAGCACTTGTTTGACGTCTATACTTTGCCAAGAGCTTGTCCCGGCATTCACGTCGACCTTCAGGGAGCGGATCCGTATGTGTCTGTTCCCGTCTGTGCCTGGCATCAGGCGGGAGATTTGCAGGAACACAGTGGTCACCTCGTCCGCCGGGCGCAAATGCACCCAGAGCTGCGCCCGAACGATGCGACTGGCTTGAAACCTTTGGGTGAAAGAGAAAAGGCAGCACTTTGGTTCCCCATTCACTTGGACGATGGAGTCAGCTGGAGAGAAACAGAGGCAGAAGGGTTTACTGGTTGGACATTGAAATGTCCAGACAACAGTGAACTGCTGTAAAGAATAATCGGTGTCACGACAATTTGCGCGTGTAACGACCACACGCGCCGTCTGGCAAGACGCTCTGATCCATATACTGTTTTACATCTCGGTAATGTTTGCATATCCACATTTCCAGCATCAAATCGTCTTACAAATCTAGATACATGCTGTTAGAATAAAGCCTACGTATAGCATCTCCTGTGCGCTCTGCGCCGTGCGTGAGAATCTGATCTCTTTCAGAGAGAGCGGGCTCTTTTCATCGTGCACAAACATATAAGACTAAATAAAGTCCAAACTTACGTTCAGTGGCTATCATTATGATTGTCTCGGTGGTGGCGTGCTCATCGTCCTCCTCTATAACCAGATCCTTGTTGTCATCTCCCAGCACGTCGTACTGGTCGAGAAGCTGCTGCAGCGGCGGAGCTTTGGGCAGAAGCTGCTTTACTGTATCTCTGCTGATATTTGGAGCTTCTTTCATTCGCAGTTTGCTCAGAATCTGAGATTTGATCGCGTTTAGTCGCATGGTTTTAATGTGCTGTCGGACCACGCACGTAGCGCACTGCTCCGTCTCTTCTGGGCTGGTGGCGGAGGGCTGCTGCTGTGTCTCTTGGTCACTCAAAACTACTGGACCCAAAGCAATCAGCAAACTCAAATACAGCACAATCTGAGACAGATGCATTGTCTCTAAGGTGTGCAGCTGGATTTAGAAAAAAGATCTTGCGTGCTGGACCTGATGCGTGACTGCGTTTGTAGTCGTTTGTGTGTCGCACACCGACAGGCTTCATACTTTATTAGCGCACACCTTTTTATACTCCAACTTTATCGTCTTTTGTGTCGTCAAAAACCATGATTGGCTGGACAGGCAACAGTGAAATTTAACCGACTTACATGAAAACTTTTTTTCGCTGTCAACATTTAAAGGGATGCAAAATGTGTGCACGTAATAATCGTGTCCACAGATGGGTACATTCACTCTTCTTCGGGTGATTACGCAATGAGCACAGGGGCGCAGACTGACTGGGCTGGGTGAGACTTTTTGTTTTGATGAACCTCAGGGTTATTTTAACTCCAATTTACAAAACATCAAATCATCTACTGCATCTTTGAAAAACCAACATAATGCGTTTAACCTGCACTTTCTTTGAATTCTAAATGACCCCCCAACAACAACCCAGTTATAAAAAGTTGTTTTATTTTGATTCAAGGGTGAAATTGACTGTCATTCTTCAGAGCTACATAGCAAAACAGACAGATTTGACAAAAGGTTCTAATCACATAGTTCCTGGTGTCTGTTAAGGTTGGCTGGAGAGAAGCAGGTCATGGTTTCACGTATCATAATCAGCATTACATCGGATTTTAAAGAGGAAACCAGCGGAGCAAAAGAACATCCTCTGTCCAGCACACATGCAAAATCCCTGACACCTGGTTGTGACACATGAGGATAGCGCCCTCGTGTGGTGGGATACTAAAGGGAGTTTTTCCTCCCCACTGTCACCAAGTGCTTGCTCAAGGGGGATTTGTTGGGTTTTCCCTATGTAATAATATTGATAACAGTAAGGTCTAGACCTTACTTTGTAAAGTGTCCTGAGATGACTTTTGATGTGATTTGGTGCTATACTAATAAAATTTGATTTGATTTGATTTGATATTACAGTAACACCCACACAGGCAACACCTTGCAACCTGTAACAGTTTAATGATTTGATGGTAAAAAGAAACTTAGGTTAGTGGCGTAATACTAGTAAAACCAGTATAAATTCAGGCGGACACCTTCCATATACCATGACCTGACCACCTTTATGGTAAAAGACCCGTTTGGTGCCTTTTTGCTACCGCTGCATTTAGTGTCAGGTGTCCTCTTTCATCTGTGACATTCATGCACGGAAAACAGTGCATGTGACAGCACTGACCACTCCAGCCGCCAGATTTTCTAAATATTGCAACACGGTCCTCTTTAACTCTAATCGACAAAGAATGATCTCATTGGATCACAGGATTTCTCGAGTTCTGTTCGACACCCTGTGAATGAGACTGGATGGTCGGTAATCTTTAAAATATTACCTACAAGAGTGATATAAAGGGCATCTGAGCCCCCATTAAGTCTCAAGTTATTAGCCCCATGTCACTAGGAGAAAGCAGCATTTCACTGGTTGCACTGGCCTTTCCATTTATTTAGACTGGTAAACCAGACCGGATGGGTCATAATCTTTGAATATTACGCACAACAGTGACATAAACATGGACTGGTGAAAACATTGGAGATCAGTCCTTAATGACAGTATTTGTCACCGTGGCCACCAGGTGGCAGCCTCGCACCGGCCGCTGTGCGCCTGGGCTCGCTGCAGCCCGGTACCAGCCGTGGAGTGTCGCTCCACTGGAGTCAGCCCAGACCTCTGATTTCCCCTCTGCCGAGCAGCTGCACTCGGCAGTGACCGACGGGAAGGCAACAGGGAAACGTTGTGCCGTCGGCTCCGCCAGCCTGGGATTTATATTTCAAGATTATTGTGAAATCGATCCAACGAGCAGCAGAAGCAGCAACTTGGGAAATAATTTGTCTTTTTTTAAAAGCACGTTGCAGTAACATTCAAGTTCAGATTGCTCGGATAAGGCAGAGGAACCGGCGCGACACAAGGTGATGTTCGGATTAATGTTTACTTGAACGACCTTGGGTTGTTTCATCTGTCGCCGGATTATTTTTTGTGGAATGGATTAAAGAACCTGACGCCTTCGCCACAGTCTGTTAGAAGTAGAGCTCTACAGTATCACAACATGTTGTTTACACATTAATTTTTAATTTCCTGTGTGCAGAAATGTTTCCACTGAGGCTCAGAACAGGTTTGCACAAAAGCCCTACGCGCTGTTGTTCAAATAAATGAAGTTATCAGGTTTAATCCAGATCCCGTGCGTGTGGATGTGAGCGAGCCAGTGCTTTCTTAGTTTGTATCATAATAACATCAGACGGTTAGAAATCATATAGGATCATTAATATAACATCAGATTTAGGAGAGGATGTTGGGACACTTCGGATTCGCGTGTTGACGTGTGGAGCTCCAAATGCTGCTTTACGCACAGGGACACTCCCCGCTCAGCATCGGTCATTCATGGCCTGCCCGTTGTGTAGACTACAGCATGCAGCTTTCTGAATGGAGCACATGCTTCCTGTGCGCGAAGGCCTGTAGTCCTAGAAAAGGAGCTGTCACTGTGAATCAGGCTGCGAGGTTCAGTTAGTGGAACAGATGGGAGACACTGGCTTACAACAAAACAGCATCAGTGCACCAAGCTAGACACAGACATCCCTGTGTCCTGCTATACAAAATAGACCCAGGGACAGAGTCATAAAACACTCTGAAGTAGAGGAGGGGCGAGGAGAATGAGTTAACACACTTGGTGTGCAGAGCAGCAGAGCTTGTTTAAAAATGACCCTGCAGAGTTGAGCTATGCCACGCCGAGGCCTTGACCTCTAGCCAGCCACTGGAGCATGGGTCACATAGGCACCACAGCCGCTGTGAAAGTCTTTCACAATCCGTTCCTCGTCCACGACATCTGGTGTTTTTTTTAGGCCGCCTCTGATAGAAAATAAATCACTGAGAGCCTCCCTCTGTCTCTTCTCTCTCTCTCTGCAGCTAAGGAGCTGTATTCTGCATGTGAGCAGGACTGACTGTTTCAGCAGCAGTAGAACCACACAGGGATGGCCCTCCTAGCCAACTGCTGCCCAGTGACCTCTAAAACATTACCTTCTGTTCTGTAACACCCCCCGGTCGTCACACATGTTGGCAGTGAGACATGGATGAGAGTGGGAGTGGATGACAGGAGCACAAAGGTGACCGCAGAAGAAGGAAGTTGAGGGCACGGATTGCTTCAGAGATGTGCCGACCACGTTGATGTATGAACTGCATGTCTAACCAAAGACTCTTGCACCGTTACTGCCAACACACATTTTCCCCCGTAAAGTAAATCAATGCTACATTCTCCAGAGTATGGGTTGTGTCAAATCCAAGAGGTGTGACTCTGGAGCTCATAATGCAAACTCCACAGAGAAGGCAGGAGGCAAATCCAGGACGAAGAGGGGCGAGAGAGCCTACCTGGTACAATCACAAACGGGCTCGGCGGAGAGCTCGCCTCAGGTCAACCCAGCACTGCTGGAGTACGCCCAGAGGCTCTCAGAGGAGATCGTGGCCCGTGCCGTGCAGCAGTGGGTGGAGGTAGACCGCCGCTACAGCGACATCCCCTACATTGAATGTGATGTGCCATGACATAGGAAAGTGTGTCACAGTGGAAAGGCCAGGCCAAGCTGAGACTGCTTTGACACTTATACCTGAGGTTCCACATGTGAAACAAGCCCAGAAGTCTCTAGCACGTTCACTCAGAGAGAATTAATCAAGCGTCTACCAACTGGGAGTAGGAATATGAATGAGCTGTCAGCAAATCAGTTTTGACCTTCTTTCAGTTTGGATTATACTGGGATTAAACCTAAAAATGCTCCTCCAAGGGGCCAAAGTACTCTGATCCTGTCCACGGCTCTGTGCTGATCTGTATCAGAGCTGGTGCCATACTGGAGCAGAGCGTCTTCAGTTGGATATCATCTTTCTCAGACCTTATTTGTCTCTTCTCTCTCAGTAGGTGTTGGCTGTCCCTGGCTGGACTCATATCCCAAAGCAAGAATTCCTATCAAATATTGCCAGTGAAAGCCTCTCCTGTTCGTCGATGCTGTCCCAGGGCCAGGGGTCTCTCCTCTTACAGAGGAAGTTATTAATAAACCTCCTCTGGTATCACTAGTTCAGAAACTCACCCAGCTGTCTGCTTTTTTCTAGTCTGATGTAAGGCTCCACAAACATTCAAAAGGCCGATGTTCTGCCTTAATGGCCTCCCTGGAAATCCTGTGGCAGAGCCGCAACAAGGAGCATCATCCTCAGCTCTGCTTATTCCGCCACCATTAGGCAGCCTCAACCACAGCCGTCCATGCAGCAGGCAGAGTCCTCGAAATGGGTTCAGGAAATTATGTGTACAAACTCCATATTTCCTGCACTTTAGGAGATTCAGTAATTGCAGTGTAAGAACTATAACGCTAGGATTCAGATCACCGGGGACCAGCTAGTCTCTAAGCCACAAAGAATCATGAGGATTAACATCTTTTCCAAAAGGGTGTGGTTCATCAACAGAAATTGAGTTTTTAAAAAAACTCCTGGGTTTTGGATGCAATGCTGTAGGTGTAGTTTTTGTACAATGCCTAACTGAAACACACTGCCACCTGCCCTAAAGGACAACAGCACAGATATGCAAACCTGGGAGCCCATGACATTTGAATCCAGTATGTATGTATATGGTCTCTTAAAATAGCACGGTGCTGTCCTGTAACAGATATATTTAGAATAGAGGTCCACATCCGCCAGAGTCCTTAATGAATGTCGCTATAGGCCCAACACAGTTCAGGTTTCTGTGAGTTGTTTTATAATATATCAGAGGGCACATTATAACAGTGTGGTCTTTGTTCACTAGACAGACGCTCAGTGGAGCTACAAGCCAGGGCCTCTCGGGCCACATCACGGAGATGTGTGCACAGGCACGCTAACTGATGTCACTGGGATTTACCCAAAATTCAAGTCACATTGCTAGCTAATCACTGATGAGGACACCCCAACTTCCACCCAGCTATTTGCAGTGACAACAGTGTTGTAGTAGTAACAAAACATCTGTAAACATCAACCATAACGGTAGGAACTAGTAGCTAACAGCGGCCTCCAGCAGAAGGTGAAAAGCCATAAGCACAGTGGCAGGTAACTGTCACCTCTTGCCTTCTCTAACAACAGTAATGTTGTTTCAGTATTGACATAAAACCAGTCAGTACCAGTAAAATGCATGTGTAAGTCACATTGTACTGTATTGGCTAACTGCTACCTTAAACCCTAGTGAAGGGAAAGTGTTACTTAGAACCTTTTTCATTCCAACGCCACAGTTTTACATGCTGTGTTGTGTAGGTGGGCTGGGTGATAACCGATCAAAGGGCTGTTGACTGTACGGCATTTCTCGATAGAAATATAATGGTGTGCTATAAAACGCCTCCCTGAATGGGTCACTAAAAAAATAAAGCATAACCTGCACTCATCTGTGTAGACAGATTCATTCTTGGGCTCCTGAAAACACTGAGGAGTCGGGACAACACCGTTCTCCAGTTCTAAATGGGATGCTGTGTGTTTCGGGTCAGATATAACGATAAAGGCTGTGGTGCTTTTCTGTCCATGGCAGGATTTAAACCACAAAGCTGCTTTTAATAGTACACAAGGGAGCTGATAGCAAAAGTTCAATGCGATTTAGAGTAGACGCCACACCTAGTGTACATGTTGCCATAATGCTGTTGTGAGCTTTACTGTTCAAACTGCTGAATTTCTAGTGTGATATTATCTCTGACAGAATTTTACTTTGTAAAAACTCTGGTATCATCTGTGTTTACAAATTGGCAAGAGAGCAAATGAGCTCAGTTTAACTTTTAATTTTTAGTAAAATACAGTTTATTCCCTTATTTACTTAGCATCTTGTTTGGTCTATTTAAGAGCAGGGATGAATCCAGTAGCCTGAAACCAGGTCAGTGATCCAGTAAAGGAGAGAACGGGGTACAATGAGCCACTTTTTACACGTCGTGATTCTACGGCAACATGAATGTGTATTCATTTCAAACAGCAGTTGCTATACTGTATAGCAGGTTGTTGTACATCCACAGTTTTAGAAGTATGACTCATCCAAATAAGTTGGTCCTATGGCACAGCGTAGCCCATTGTCCCCTACTGAGCACAGCTGATTTCAGGATTCTGACTCCTGAACCCACAATGGACCCTGTTGAATCTGTGTTTAACAAAAATTAAAAGAAGAAGCAGACAGCGAGCGTTGAGACTGAGGAAAAAAAGGTGCACTGACTTGACTATAAAGTGAAACCCAAGCAGCCTGATGAACACGGACACAGCCCACCTGCACTGTTTTCATGATTTGTCCGTTGCCAAATAAGGGAACAGTAACGTCCAGGAAGCAACTCTGCAACATGACACGTCAGCCAAAGAATATGTCATACTAAGTTAAAATGAGTGACTTTCTGCATATTACAGTACAATATTCATTTAAATTGCAAACCATTCATAAAGTATGTGTAAGAAGTGATGATACCAATAAATGAAACGTATGCCTTCTGTCACTACTGAAATATTTCATTATTACTCTCCAAATCACAACTTAACATCATGAATTTTGAAATTGTAAGGTCGAAGAACACATGGGTACTTGTTAACATCTCTGTGACACATACTGTCTCAACAATATTTGTTTAAAATACCCATAAAAGAAGACGTGCAGCTTCCTGTGTAAGAGTGAACGCAGCAGGTTAAAATCACAAACAAAAGGACCGAGAAACGAGCTCTGTGCTTGTCTGAGGAGCAGATGGCAGCCATAAAGCATGAAGGGTTATCTGTGACGCCAAAACAAATACTCAGTGTTCTCAGTGTTTATGGCAGTTGATTAGGTTCACTATGTAGAGATCAGGTCATTGACTGTGGTCACTGAACTGCACCGAGGGCAGAGCTGAGGAACACTGCATGTGGCAGGACTCGTGGTACTTAATGAACATGACACTGACAAGAGGCTGCTCCTGAAATGAGACATTAGGTAGGGAAGCTGAAAACAGACGTGAGATAAAGGTGGTCCATACTACAGATAGGATGTCCACTATGAGCTTCTTGAGTTTTAATTCTTCCTATTCAGACTGAAGCATCATTGTTCACTGGTGATGTTTCATGGTTCTCATGCCACGTTTCTGACTCCTTTACTGCTCAAATAACATATGCACGCCCTCATGCCAATACAGCACCTTAAACAAATGTTATAACCCAACACGCCCTTATATCAACATGTTGACCTTCTGAACATCTGAGCAGCAGATTAGTGCCTTCATGCAGATAACAAAGGCAGCTGACTGTTGTACCAGAGAACTTTATAAGCATGTCATAAAAAATACTGCCCTCAGTAACGGCAGATGTACCAACACTTTCCTGATTCACCAGTAATACACAGCTTTTTACTTTACTACTGTTTACTGCCACCTGTTCCAGCACTGACGTCTCATCTGTTTCACAAATAATGGAGCTAATCAAACCCTGTGTTTAGGGAGCTCATCTGATTCCTACTAAAATAAATAGTGTGTCCAAAGGAGTTAAATATAGAAACACAATGTAACATTTCAGACTGCTGAAAACATATTTGTTTATTGTTGCACTGTAACAATCATGTAAATGCATCAAGAACAAGGACTGATACTTCCACTGGAAGCCTGCCATCTGTTTCAGGAGTGTCAGAGACATTTTGTATTTATGTTACAGCTAAAAAGTACAGATGTAACCAAAACAACATAGAAATAAAAGAGGGACAATACATTCTCTGAACTGGAACAAGTGATCACAGATGATACTGATCTGTGTGACATCAACAAACACTCTCAGGAAATGTGCTGAAGCACTCAGCGGTGAGATCCTTTGTCTTTCCCATGGCCTCAGGTTAATGCAGTGTTGCTGTCTGGCTCCTTGTATTTGCAGTTATTACTTTACACTAAGTGCAACAAAGACTCCATTTCCACTGCACAGCAAGTTTACACTAAGCATTTTTCTTAGGCGTGACACACAGGGTGCCCATTAGCTGCCTCTTCTGCTACTATTATTTTCTATTTCTGGCTGTGAACATGAATCAGTCCCTCTTCTCAGCTGCAGAGTACCACCCTGTTTGAGTCTGAATTCTCCTGTAAAATGTTTCCAATAGTACAGAATCAAACCATTACAGTATATGACCTGTGTACATCATGTCCATGTAGTGATATGGGGACAGGAGGCAGCTGCTCACAGTAGGCTTCATGATGTGTCTGTGCAGAGATGGGAAGCAGCTGCTGTCTGACAGGACCTTAGAAAGTCAGATCCTTCTCTCCCAGTGAGGCAAAGCACTGGTCAATGCTCTGATCAGACACCTCCTCCAGAGTTGACGGCTTCCACTTGGGACTCTGGTCTCTGTCAACCAGCACTGGAAGCATGAGAAACAAAATCAGATGGTGGGACTGACAGGTAGGTAAGCTGAGATGATGTAAAGCTTCAACTGATCCCTGACCTTTGTTATCTTTTACTCATGACCAAACATCTAATGATGCTGAGTTTAGAAAGAAGAAACCGTCTACACCTCTTGGACAGCTAACATAGCATGCATGAAAACAGGAATCTCAGAAGCTGACAAGGTAACGACTGGCTCACTGAGGATAATGTACAGACAAAGTAAAGGACTAGCCAACACAGAGTGCCTCAGTAAGGTGCTGAGCCACCAGGCGCCACCAGAACAGCTTCACTGCACCTTGATATTAATACTACAAGTCTCTGAACTCTACGGGAGGATGAACACCATTTTTCCAAAAGCTATTCCCTCATGTGGTGTTTTGATGATGATGGTGGAGACGCTAACACGTCGCTCCAACATCTTCCATAGGTGTTCAACTGAGGTCTGGTGACTGTGAAGGCCACAGCATATGATTCACATCATAATGCCTCAAGCTGCGGCTGCCGCCGGCATGAAGTCGTTATGTTTACGGGTTGTCTGTCTGTCCGGCCAGGCCCATCCTTGTGAACGAGATATGTCAGGAACGCCTTGACAGAATTTCTTCAAATTGGGCTCAAGTGTCCGCTTGGACTCAAGGATGAACTGATTAGATTTTGGTCAAAGGTCAAGGTCACTGTGACCTCACTTCTGTCCCATACCCATGAATCTGACAGGTTGGCGGAGGCGTACACCTATGAAGTGGTAATTCTAGTTTTCACAGTCATCAGATCGTTCAGTGACCCCTCATGTCCTGTGGATGGGGGCTCCATCCTGGAGCAGACCGCTCATTTGTTCAGGTTTGTCTTTGTCACCCATCTGTATAATATGGTCATTTTGTACTACAAAGCAGAAAAGTATTAATTACTGAGCCTTTTATAAGAATTAGAATGAAATGAATTCTTTTTCATTGTACTTTAGTTCTATACTCATCTGCAGTCCGTCTACATCCAGTATACTGCCCATGTGACTTACCAGCTCTTACACCCTCATAGAAGTCACAGCCCCTCTGCAAATAACATGGAAGAAAAACTGATTTCACTCCAGCATATCAAGTTAAACATTTAAATCTAACAGCTATGATAGATGTTTAGGATAAACATAAAGAACAATAAGGCAGAATCATTTACTAATCCTCAGTTTCCTGTCCAGTTATGATTACTACCAGAGTGACATGTATGAAAAAGAAGCTCATGGATGTTGTGTGTTTACAGGTGACACACTGGTAAGAGGACGTCTGTTGGTTTGTACCATGCAGGCCTGGCTCATGCGATACTCCATCACCAGCACGTCCTGCAGGCTCAGAGCAGCACCTGCCTGCAGCTGCTTGAAGGTGATCTTCAGGGAAGTGGGAGACATTTTGGACAATGTCTGTAGAAGGAGACACAGGGAACTTTAATGTTTGAAAGACTGAACCTTTGAACACAACAATGGCAATGGACTGCTTTATTTGGTTTGAGATTATTTTCTGCAGAACATCATGAAAAACAAGCCAAGTATAAGCAAGGACAAAGAAGGTTATGCATGTGTAGTGTACGAGGCAGGACAGTGAACTCTGTGGTGTAGCAGTGACTGAGGAAGTGGGTTTATAATAAATATTTGATGGCTACGCTGACTCTCATCGGTTCTAATTACATTTTTTGTGGTTTGGAAGGATACTGGAAATCATTACGTCTGTTGAACCCTACGGAATGAAAGCAGTCAAAGAGTATTTGTTGAGTTTTAAAACAGTTCTTAAATATGTTGTTCATCAAAATGATCGGTCAGTGGAGGCTCTTTAACAGAACAGTATTAAACACTGTGCATAAATGATGGTGAACTCGCAGTGATCAGGAGAGGAACAATGAGGAGGGGGTGAGGGAGGGGCCTGAGGTTGTACACCATCTCTCTCAGGTTTGGTTTCACACAATCATCCTGCTGCGAGGTGAACAACTAAATCAGAGAGCGGAGTCACATCAATGAAAGGTTTCATCAAGGCACATTGATGGAAGCCACTGTGGTCTGTTAAGAGCTCTGAGAGCTCTCAGGAGGGATTCTAGTCACAAGCCTGAGACTCACCCCATTAAGTGCTTAGGCTGAGGTAACTACTAATTATGAACACATTTGCCAAAGCGAAATAATGCCCTGGCTCCATTTACCGGTAAGCTGTCAGTGGGCGTTATCTGATGCTGGGGTCGCAGGACTGCACAGGACCAGGTCCAGAGGTACAGTGATTCTTTAGCAGGACTTTAAATCAGTTCATACAACTACAGTAAAAGTACATGTGTGTGGTGATAGACACAGAAATTATCACCAAGCCTCCACCCCAGTGTTACCAGAGGTCTGTACATTTACTGTGGAGAATCAATGGATGATGTCAGTGACTGATGAAGGCTCAGGTCAAGAACATACCTCAGCCTGTTTCTTGGCGAACTCCGAGCCATCGGCCTTCAGATTCTGCATTATTCCCTCCACACTGCTGGAGCTGAACAGCCTAAAGGGAGGGAAACACTAACATGGGCTCCATTTTTCAGCAGGTTAACTTTAGTTACTTTAGTTAGTTTTAACAGAAACAGTCTGTGTTCTTCATAAAACTAAGTTTTGTTCTTCTTATGTCAAGGAAACCCATGAAAAGACCAAAGCCAACAATGAGTTGATCCTACTAACGAGTACTGTTCTGTGCCATAGAGCTCCACTGTTGTCCAGAAAGCCTTCAGTGAGCCACACTGTTGGACTACAGCACCAAATCCACCCCTAAAAACAGTCCCCAACAAACCCTACTTCCTGTACTCCTTTTGAGTGACATCTGCTTAAAACTAGTGTCCAGCTATTTGAAGGATTTGTTCAGCTGTTTTTGAAGGTTTACATCCTCAAAGTGAAAGGATGGGCTTGGGGCCAGATGCTACAGACAGGGCAGGGAAATGGGAAAGACTGAGATGAGTAACACATTGTAGGTTTGGGTCCTTTTGTTGACAAGAACAAAATTATAGAACATCACCCAGCCTTAACTAGCTCTTGAGCTAGTTAAGGCTGGGTACACACTCAGTACACACTCAGATTCTGTTCATGTTTGGGAACCCAAGGCTGACCTGTTGATATCAGACACGTGCTTGTCCAAGACAAAAGGCTTTTCAGAATCCAGACTGCTCTGTGGAGAGAAAGTATGCCCACATAGAGATTATTCTGTTCTCACCATCTCAACACTGTTACTTCTTCATGTCTACAAACTGTTTTGTTGCCTATTTAAGCAGTTCTGGATGGTTTAAATGTGTAAGGATTCTAACCTGGTTCTGATAGGAGTCTAGCACTCTGGAGACGTCTTCAGCAGAGGGAGACTTCAAGTCCACCAGCTCCTTCTCCAGGTCTGGGATCTGTTTAAGTACAAGGCCTGAGATCAGCAGTAGCCATAAAAGATGGCTGTACATTTAATCATAACACAGGGCAAGAAAAATAATTGTTTTTAAAATGGATGCAGGACCTTTCTCTGTTTGCTCTCCTGAGGAAAATACACTTTTAAGAAGACAAGTTACTTTGAATAGAGAATTTTGCTGCACTGCAGTGTTTAATGTCTTTTGGGTGGGATTCACACACCAACACACAAAAACCCTAGACATGTGAAGACACTGCTGTGTAGGGCTCCAGAAGTTGGGACGATCCCTACGGCACATTAACCACAGTTTATCAAACACAAGTTTATCCTCAACAAAGCAACAGCTCAAGACTGTTATTCTTGGCCAACGTGGAGTTTAGTTTAGTTTGTTTTTGGCCAAACTCTAAGTGTTCTAAACGAACTAAATCCACCCCACTGCTCGTCCGTCCTGAAAAATCAAGGTTACAGTCACCAACTCTGTCGCCGACTGTTTTGATGTGATGCCAACAGCAAGACAAACACAACCTGGACTAGCCAATGCTGGCACCTATAAACAAAAATGAGGCAGTGGCTCGGCGTCTGGCACTCCAGAGGACCTTGAAACTCACTCTTCCCCCAACCATGTTCCTGTGGTGCACTCATACATGCACCGTCACTCACAGTCACACTGGATGGTGAGTGGTTTAGATGAACTAAGAGAAATATATTAGGGAAAAACCTGGGCCCGTATTCATAAACATTTAAAGCTCAGAGAGTTGCTCCTTGTGATGAAATCCTAAGACAAATCTTGTTTTGGACATTTCCCAAGACTTGAAGGTTTGAAGAGCAGAGTCTCTCACTTACTTTTCTGGTGAGAGGGTAAAATAACGCCTAGGACTAAGGGCTCTGCGTTGCAAGTGTGTAACAGCACACTGACGCCATGAGTTATGTGTCACTTCTCATTCTGATGCGTTGCAAGTGTGTAACAGCACACTGGCGCCATGAGTTATGTGTCAGTTCTCATTCTGAGTCAGTCTCTGGTTTGTCTGCAGTCATCGTCTAAGACTAACTTCAGTTTCTGTACCTTCTTAGACTCCACAAAGTGAGTGGCAACTCCGGCTTTCTGCACATCGCGTCCCTTGAGACGGAAGCCTGTCAAAGCCAGAAACAGTCCCAACTTGCCCTGGAGCCTTGGTAGAAAATAGCCACCCCCCACATCAGGGAAAAGCCCTGTCAAAAGAGAACACAAAGCCACGCATTTAAACACATTCTAGTAACAGTTTCAATGCACATGCACATCAAGAAGCAATTTCACCATCTGTCACTGTAAGACCCTGCCAGTAAGAAACACAGAGATGCTGCTATAGACGAAGAAAAGCAGCAATATGTGAAGTTTGAACCTGCTATTTGTCAATTTTTCTTAGGAAACATCTTAAAAATGAACCAATTATTAAAATAGTTGCAGATTAACTTTCTTTTGAGTAGTTAATCTTATTATATCTAAGCTGTATGATAGTCATTCTGTATTATCAATAATGTTTCTATTTGATTTCAATGTTTCTGACAGGAAATGAGATTCCACTGGTCAACGAGATTCCTGACTGCTCTGCTAGAGAAGGGAGAAGTGGGAGGCAGAGGGAGGGATTTAGACAAGCTGACCTGATTCATGCCTCAAAATAAAAATGTCAGATTAGGGCTGTTGTTCAGAACGCTAGCAGGCCCGGGTTAAATCTGTTAATCCTGCCACAGAAGGGGTTCATGTTCCGTCATGAGGGAGGGCTCGACAGTGTTGGTGTGTGACTGAGGGAGTTCAAATTGTTGTCTGTCTGGATTTAAACCCGTTTTATTTAATTAAAAATGGTGAAAAATGCCTGTGACATATTCAGATGTGATTTAGTTTGAACTCAAACACATTCATATCATAACCATGTATGACAAAGAAAAGTGATAGAGCTGTCAACAGCTACATGTTCAAAATAGCTGCTGATTACGTTTCTGTCAATCGACTAATTGATTGTTGGACTAAAGTGCTGCTGATGAAATCCCATGACAACAACGTCCCTTTCCATCATCTTCAATGTGTCTGTGGCACATCGGGCCTCAGCCCACGGGTTCTCGTAGAACACATAAGTCTTCAATACAGGTCAAAGTCCAGGAATTTCCTTAAACAGTTTGGCACTGAGGCTTTTACTAAAT